ACACACCCGCACCCCCTACTCCCCCTGCACACACCCGCACCCCCCTACTCCCCACACACCCCGGCCCCCCCCTACTCCCCGCACACACCGGCACCGGGCCTTCAGCCAGCTGGGGGTAGCTGTGGAGTCGTGGTGCAGGTAAAGGAGGGACCCTTATACTCTGGGACGTCCCCCCCGCTCTCGCTGGACTCAGCAGGGCCCCATCCGCCCTGCATCCTTCCCCCGCAGACTGGGGATTGCTCAAACCCACTCCCCCCCCCCCCCAAAAAAAAGGGGAAAAAAAGAAGAAGCTGGGCACTGCTTTGGGGAGAGGTAACTAGTGGTGTCCCCCAGGGGTCTGCACTGGGCCCAGTCCTAGTCAACGTGTTCATAAATGATCTGGGAAAAGGGGTAAACGGTGAGGTGGCAAAATTTGCAGATGATACAAAATTACTCCAGATAGTTAAGTCCCAGGCAGACTGTGAAGAGTTACAAAGGGGTCTCACAAAACTGGGTGGCTGGGCAACAAAATGGCAGATGAAATTCAGTGTTGATAAATGCAAAGTAATGCACGTCAGAAAACATGATTCCAATCATGCATACAAGATGATGGGGTCTGAATTAGCTGTTACCACTCAAGAAAGAGATCTTGGAGTCATTGTGGAGAGTTCTCTGAAAACATCCACTCAATGTGCAGCGGCAGCCAAAAAAGCGAATAGAATGTTGCAAATCATTAGGAAAGAGATAGATAATAGGACAGAAAATATTGTGTTACCTCTATAGAAATCCATGGTACGCCCACATCTTGAATACTGTGCGCAGATGTGGTCACCCCATCTCAAAAATGATATATTGGGATTGGGAAAGGTTCAGAAAAGGGCAACAAAAATGATTAGGGGTTTGCAATGGCTGCCGTATGAGGAGAGATTAATAAGACTGGGACTTTTCAGCTTGGAAAAGAGATGGCTAAGGGGATATATCATTAAGGGCTATAAAATCATGACTGGTGTAGAGAACTAGGGATCACCAAAGGAAATTAATAGGCAGCAGGTTTAAGTATTTTTTCACAGAACGTACAGTCAACCTGTGGAACTCCTTGCCAGAGGATGTTGTGAAGGCCAAGACTATAAGAGGGTTCAAAAAAGAACTAGATAAGTTCCTGGAGGATAGGTCCGTCAAGGGCTATTAGCCAGGATGGGCAGGGATGGTGTCCCTGGCCTCTGTTTGCCAGCAGCTGGGAATGGGCGACAGGGGCTGGATCACTTGATGATTCCCTGTTCTGTTCATTCCCTCTGGGGCACCTGGCACTGGCCACTGTCGGTAGACAGGATACTGGGCTAGATGGACTGTTGCTCTGACCCAGGGCGGACGTTCTTATGAGCCTGGGCCCCGTCTGTCCCCCACCCCCAACCTGAGCACCACCCAAGGGGGAGCTCGGACTGCCCTGTGCTCTGACACCCCCTGTGAGCCAGGCCCTGCTGCAGGCACTGATCCCCCATGTCTGCTCCCTCCCCCCAGGTGTACCGGGACGTGCCCGTGCAGCCGCCTCACAAGCCCTACCTGTCGCACACGCTGCCCCGGGCGGCCCACGGCCTGCGCTTCTGCCCCTTCGAGGACGTGCTGGGCGTAGGGCACGGCAGCGGCTTCACCAGCCTGCTGGTGCCAGGTACGGACCCCCCATAGCGTCCCCCCAC